AAATCCAGCCAAGAGGACCCTGTATTTCCATGTGACACCACAGTAGTGGCCATCAGACCCAAAGGACTGAAGGGACTATCTTAAATACTATTTAAATTCTGCCTCCTGCTACCAAACCCACATATCCACAAAGCCTCCATTGGCTTCAGTTCAGTCAGAGAGACAGGTATGACTTGAAAACAAGAGGAATCAAGACACTTACTGAGAACCTCCGGGTGAGCCCTGGAGGGGCAGCAAGGACCGCCTGGGAGCCACTGCACCTGGGCCTGTGTTCTCCTCCCACTGCCATCCATCCACCTGCCCTGGAATACACCGTGACCCTGCTTAAGCGTCCTTTCTCCATGAAGCTGCCCCGATGCCTGAGACTGGGTCAAGATCCCACTCCTGTCCCCATAGTCCTTGGACCTGTTTCTGTCCCACCATATTGTGGTGTGGTCTCTCCTTCTTCAAGGCGCAGGGACCAAGGGCCATGTCCCAAGTTGACTTTGTATCCAGAAAAGAACAGGTGCTCAATAAATGTTTATTGAATTAATAAGTTTCCAAGATCCTGGAAGGCTTTGCACTGTGGCTGGCTGGGAGGTCACTGGTGGGAGAAGTGTCCTTAGTTAAATTCAAATAAGAGATCTCAGGCATCTTGAATGAGACCGCAGCAGCCCCTCCCCTCAGCAGGTTAGAGAGGCCCCTCCATTCTCCCACTTTTGGTTTCCTCCTTATTATTGTGAGTCTCTACTGGGTCCAGACCTATCTCATCTCACAAAAGATACAGTTGAATATAGTAAGGCAGTACAAAGGGTGGCCTCTCCCCGCCTCACCCTCTCTGCTTGGTTAATTCCTGTTTGTTTTCACATCTAGGTTTGAAAGTCACATCCTGAAGGAATCCCCATCACCCTGACATGATCTTCTCATAGCCACCAGGACCCCAGAGCAGAGGATCCCCTGACCCCAGCACAGTCTAAGTGTTTGCTAAGTTTATACATCATTAACATGCATCTCCCCTAGATCAGCCATCTCAACCTGTGGGTCATGAACCCTTTGTAACAATGAAATACATCCTGCACATCAGATATTTATATTACAATTCATAGCAGTAGCAAAATTATAGTTATAAAGGAGCAACAAAACTAATTTTATGGTTAGGGGTCACCACCACATGAGGAACTATATTAAAGGGTCACAGCATTAGGAGGCCTTAGGAGGGTTGAGAACCACTGCCCTAGGTGGTGAGTGCCCCACTGAATCTCCTTCACCAAAAAGGACACAAAGCCTATAATTGGTGCTAAAAAAACTGTGATGTATGAATACGTGAAAGAGCGAGCAAGTGAAAGCACATCCTGAACAGAGGAAGCCAAACATTAAAAACAGAACCAGAAACACAAATAGCTTGAAGTGTCTGGACACACACATGGGCAGGGCCACATCAAGTCCTTGTGGGCATTTTGTGCCAATAAGAAACAGGTGCCCTTCCTCCTTGGCAGCCACAGTTCCTCACTATAGGGCTTCAGGTTCTTTTCAGCCCCACACGCCCCTGTGGCCAGGTGCCTGTGTGCAGGGCACCACTTGCACACCCACGAGTGGGGCCCTGCATGTTGGGGAACAGCTGGGGCAGTGGCTGGGCACTAAGTAGGCATTAGAGGTTCCACGCTAATGCCCAGACTTCAACGTCTCTTCCCTAGATCATTTCAACAGCCCCTTGACTCTTATATCTGTTCCTACTCTCTCCTCTTCCAATTCACCCTGTGCCAAGAATGATCTTCCTAAAATGCGAATCTTGTGTTCTACCTATTTTAAGACTAGGTGTTTTCTAATGTGGCATTAGACCCTGCCAAAAACTGCTAGGAACGTCCCCAGGGTTTAGTCCTTGGGTCTCCTTCTCTACTCCAGCCAAGGAAGGAGGCCTGGAAGAGTGATCTCCTGGAACCAAATTCTAATTCTGCCACTTGCTAACTACCTGATCCCGGGAAAGGTGCTCAGCTTCCCTTAGTTTTCCCATCTACAAAATGGAGATGGTGATTGCAGCTACTTCCTATGGTAGTTGAGAAGATTCGATGAGTTAATTGAATCAAGTACTTACAACAGTGCCTAGCATTTAACTAAAGCTCCTCATAAGCTGGGCTATTACCACTACAATTAGTAGCAGGTGAGAGGAACACGGAAGGGGGCGTGACACTGCGCGGTGAGAGCGGTTTCAGAACTAGCACAATGTACTGTCAGTGCAAAGAGCAGGCAGCAATTAATCCTGCTAGGGCAATCAGGAAGGGCACGGCAGAAAAGTGAATCATGGAGCAGGACCTTGGAGGATGAACGGGAGATTCCTGGAAGAAGTTATCAAGGACAGCACATGCAAAGTGTCAAGGTACAGAAGTGCATAACAGGTTCCCAGAAAACAGAGACACTACGTAGTATTTACTCCCTTGCAAAAATCAACCCTATATGTGTAATTTCCCCTTATAAATTATATTTTGTTTTATCTTTTTGCTGCTAAGACAGAGCTGTGAGGTTTACTGAGGGGGACAGCAGAGAATGAATGGCATTGGACCACTGGAGCAGAGGCTGTCAGGGCCCCATTCACAGCGTCCTCTGGAGCTTACCAGTCCTATTTGCTGTGACTTCCTGCTGACCCCAACCTACCGCCAACAACTCTGCTGAGGGCTTTCACTGGTGGCAGAAGAATGCTCTGCTCTCTTACCCAGAGTTAATGCACCTGGGAGCAGCCTGCATTAATGACAGATGAGAGATGATGGATAAACATGGCCAGCTCCTTGCTCTCAAGTGGGACAACTCCAGGCTTGTTGTAAACTATTCTGCAGGGATTCGCAGGGGGATTGAGCCCCAACTGTCTGCAGTGTTAATATGCCCTTCCTTACAAATAAACTACTGGTCCCGTGTTCTGTTTCTGGGAAACCAATCTAATACAGCCTTTTAGCAAGAACAAGCTTTCAACTGGGGCTTTGTGGAGTGGGAAAAGGACAACACCTAGGATGTAGACCATGGAAGCTTCCCTGTCTACCACCAAGGCTCAGCCCGGCAGGCTACTGAAGTGGGTGCTAGAGTCGGAGGCCGCCAGGTAAAAGAAACAGCACATACAAAGGTTTCTCCGAAGTCACCTCCAGTTTTAAGATTTTTCTTTCATTTTGTCACTGACCAGGAAAGGCCCTGTTCTCGGCACTGGGGTTACTCGTGTCCAGATTTTGATGCCTTCTTTGCTCCCCAGCTAGACTCTGAATTGTCTGAGGACCAGGATGTTTCTCTTCTGTTATAAGGGAGTAAAGGAAGGAAGGAGCCCTAAGCTGGGAGTCAAGAGACTCGAGTGCCATTCTGGGAGCCCCAGCCGGGATCTCAAGTCAGTGGCAAGTCAGGCACCACACAGGAGAGGTTGAAGAGAAAGTATATTAAAGAACAGTGTCTAGATAGACTTTGCAGAAATATCTTTTTTTTCCTAAGACAGTGTCTCACTTTGTCACCCTCAGTAGAGTGCAGTAGTGTCACAGCTCACAGCAACCTCAAACTCCTGAGCTCAGCCTCCCAAGTAGCTGGAACTATAGGCGCCCAACACAACGCCCAGCTATTTTTAGAGATGAGGTCTCACTCTTGCTCAGGCTGGTCTCTAGTTCGTGAACTCAGGCAATCCATCCACCTCAGCCTCCCAGAGTGCTAGGATTACAGGCGTGGTATTGAAATATCTTTTAAGTGACTTGCAGTTGAGCTTGGGTGGCACAAGGCACTCAGTTTATCACGTGAGACCCATAACCACGTCCTGGAGGGGTTGAAAGCAGGCACGTTGAAGCCTGCATTCCCGGGCGGGCACAGGAGGGCACCACGTGTCTGTCACACTCTCACCATGGGAGGGGCCTCCGAGGGTCCACTTGCTCAGCTCTCCTTCCCCATCCCCTGCCCTTGTCCATGTGGCTCCCTGTGCCCGGAATACTCACCTTGACCTCCTTCCCCACAGCTCCTACCTCCTACTCATGTCAGGAATCATTCCTTCCTACACACACTTCCTGACACCTCCCCACACATCAAAATTGGTTTGTGTCGTCCTCTGAGCTTGCGCAGCCCCTGTGCTTTTCTCTACATAGCAAGCTTCATGCTAGTCTTATTATTTTCATACATTCTTTGCCCCAGACTGGTGCTCTTTGAAGTTGGACAGTGAGTTTACCCAGACTGCCTGGTGCTGGGGCACTTAGCCAGTGCTTGGTAAATGTCCAATGAATAATGAATGAATGCACGTCAAAGTCACCACACAATGTTTTCACTCCGTTCCTCCCCTAGTTCCTAGCCATGATCAAGAGAAAGTATAATGAAGAGCAGTGTCCCTATAGACTTTAGGGTTACAAAGCTGCGTCAGGTGTGATGTCTCATTAAATTCCTACTGCTCCTAGAGGTAGGTAGGCACGCATCACCACCTTTTCAGAAAGACCAGTAATGCCCAGCTGTGAACTGCGGGACAATCCTAGATAAATTTAAAACAAGACAGCTTCCTCTGCCTCCAAGTCCTAAAATCCTGTCTTCATATTCAGAATGCCAAGGTACTTGAGGGACAGCAGAGAAAGGCACCCTCCACCACTTGTGCCTCGGTTGCCCCAGTCTCCAACGTGGGGCATCAGCCTCACTGACTCCAGTGCTCCTGTGGCCCTTTTCCAACCCATTCTCCTTTACTCTCTCTCTCCATAGGGCCCTTTTCTTAGGTTGCTCGCTCCA